TATATATATATATATATATATATATATATATATATATATATATAAATATATATATATATATATATATATATATATATATATATATATATATATATATATACATAACATATTTGTTTTGCCATGCCCTTTGACTTCCAGCTTGTCATTTGCTGTATTTAAAGCTTATCGATTCAGTGCTAGATCTGTAATTACAGTAATTTCCAGTCATTATACGCACTGTAGGCCTATAAATACATCTTACACTTACTACAATTTTATATCTAATCTTGTTTTCTCGTACATCTCGCTCTCCGTATTAGTATCCCTCCTTGCTTATTCACTCTAATTCCTCAGTCTTTACATCCGTCCTTCCTTCCTTCCCTCCTTCCTTCTCCGGAGAAATTATCTGGTTGGGCCATAATTCTTCCCTCCCACGGGACGGTCTCCCAAGCAGTGTTGTCATTCTTGCGATTTTCCGCTAGGTCTAGAGTTTTCGAGTTATGATCTAGCGCAGGGGTTGCCAGCCTGGGGACCATGGACCCTATGGACCTACGGGATACTTTCTGGGGAGGTCATGGAGCAGTATGAAAATTATGGCGTCGAATTACTCTGAATTTTATCTAACTAATAGTACCTACATATACTCATCTCTTATTTATATTTGTGAGAATTTTCTACAAAGCGATTTTTTTTTTTTTTTTGTCATACAGCTATTGACGCCTTTACACGATTCATGACTGAATCTGAAAAGTTGACAGACACTGAAAGACGCCATGGAGATTATTACATATTGTTCGAAGCCACAAAATGAAAAATGTTAGGAACCACATATCTAGCGGGATTTTTTTTTACTTATTTAACGACTTTTTATATTCCTTTCCAACGGGAAAATGAGGAGCCTTTCCTCTTATGTCTAGCGTTTTTTTAAGTTCAGTCCAGTAGTTTCGTGGAAGTATCAGTGGCAACACTGCTCCCAAGAATCGTGTCGTTTATTTACCTTACCGAGAACCAAGCTCGACGTCGCCTCCTTCAGGGAACAGTTTCTTTCCAGGGGTACAATGGAGGGCGGTGGTTCTGAAGGCGAGCAAGATTTTCGTCTGTTTTCTTTACGCATTGTCTGTTCCTTTATGTGCCGTTTGGATATCGTCTTGACATCGTATTATGGTTATGTACATCAGCGTTGTTGTGTTTATTGTTTTCTGACGGATTTATCACCTGCTGCTTGGCTTGAGGAGTCATATCTCTTATCAGTGAATCAGCGAATGTGTGGCTTCTACTTGAGGCGAGAGTGGATCAGTCTAGCCGGGATTACGATCACTCAGATAAGGCGAAAAACCACACAGCATCCTCATAAAAAAGTAATATCAACCCTGGGTTAGCTGAAAGCTCGCTCTGCTCTAGTCGCCTCATGTTTCAGGACCCTGACAGTTCAGCTTCATCCTTTCCGAATACTAATTGTGAAATATCTTGGTTCAAATGTGAGATTTTACTCTGCTCCAAGGTAATGGTCTTTTTCCCTTTCTCGTTCGAGGCTGTGTCGAGAGGCTCGGAATTCTTTCTCCGAGGTCAGTTAAAGTCAGTCTTCGTTACATTCTAGGATCCAGCTGCGTTGAGTCGCAAGAACATATATTAGGTTTCATCCTCTGTTGATCAGCGTTTTTTGTGTCGTTTTGAATCAATTTTCAACAAATGTACGAGAGTTGTCGCCTGCTCGCGAACTTTTCTCGCACATTTTCCCCTTTAAGGTAAAGAGACGGAGACAACATAACCCTTAATTTTAATTTTTGATCACTCTGCCTTACATTTTTGCTTCTTCCTCTGTATTTTTCCATAAAATATGATAACCGAATAGCCTCACACATCCCAGGCTCGAATTGCATTTATCCCTAAGATTCCTGAACATATTACTATCGTAACGAGTCAGACAGAAAAAAATATACGAGTGAATTAAATAACTTTACAGGCCATTTCTAGGATATATATTAAAGAATACCTGCTTTTACACGTAATTCATGTAAATCTGATGAAGATATGGCAACGAATCATAACATAACATAACATTATATTTCTTGCTCTACCAAATTATCCGGATCCATTCATCCCGTTCCTACTGATGTCGCAATGACTAATGTCGTGTCCTTTTTCTTAACCACTATTCCTCACTTTCTAGTCGCGCCTGTCCCTTATGATATAAAAATGCACTTCTTGAAAAACACAAGTTCTTAGTATAAATTCCATCGTGGTAATCCTTGGGAAGCTCGCATTAGTGGTGACTTTGTTCGTGACTGAGACGATATCGATGATTCTTTATGTCTACTAAATAACGAAGTGGTAATAACTACAGTCCTCACACATGTAGCAATGTTACAAACAAGTCCTATCACTCTTAAATCATAGCTCATCACACTAAAATAACGTTTCCTTTGCAAATATTCCTGCGAAACACAAAGAACTCCCCGTCGCCTGCCTAGCTGCCCCTTCCTCTCCCAGTGCGTCGTGCCATACAAAGAGCTAGTCTCACCTGACGTGGCAGTAAGAGAGGCTCAGCTGCACGGGGTTGACTGGGATCTTGGCCCTCTCAGAGCTTGACACGCGCACCAATTCTATTTTCGGCCGCTGATTAATCAGCAGCCGACCGTCCTCAGAACACATGACGTCACTGCGAGCACGCGCTCTTTGCACACCTGTTAACGAAGGAGAAACTTGTTAAGGATACTATAGAATACAGGTCCCGTACTTGACAACTGGTCATATCAATAGAGAAATAAACAGATAAAAAGAGAGATAGAGAGACAGGGGTGGAAAAGAGAGAGAAGATAGAACAGGTAGATGAAAAAACAGACATAAAAAAGAAACATACGATCAGGCGGAGATAAAAAAAGGCCAAAGAATATAGGTCTTTTATATCAAACGAAAATGGGACACAGAGCCCGGCTTAAAGGGATTCCCATTTGTACCTGAAACATGTAGGAGAAAATCCGGAGATTCGTAAAAGCAACTCTGCTAGAATCACCGCAAACCGCATTTATGGGTTAATGGTCCAATGTTTTTGACAATCTTTTTTCTTCTAAATATTCGCAAGGAGTGTATAACCTGCAGTACATAAAATATAATGTACACAAACAAAGCACGTAGCCGAGAAAGGTTAACAGGTAAACATAATTTCTCAGAGATACACATGGCTTTGAATAACGAAATAAATATGGTAATCATGATGGTCAGCATAAACATGTAAGTTCTCTGTCAGTAAATAATGAATCAATATTAGCCAGCGTTGCCAATAATTCGCAAATCACAAACACAAAAGAGCAATATGACGCCTCATTTCGCTAAAAAGGTTTGTTATCTGGACTTGCACTAATTGGTTCGAGTTAGTCATAGATAGTTGTGGTGGTAAACATAATAGGGGATAGAATTAAATCATTATGATAACGATATGAATTAGTATTCACTTATCTAAAATTAGTGTGTGTTTTTGCATTCTTACATGCAAACGCACACACCCGCGCGCGCACGCACACGAAAACACACACACACATGTATGTATGCATTTATGTACCTACATATATAAGTATGCATGTATGTATGCATGTGTATATTACAGAAAAAAATGGAATACATATATATATATATATATACACATAAATACATATATATATATATATATATATATATATATATATATATATATATATATATATATATATATAGATGCATATATAAATACATATATATATATATATATATATATATATATATATATATATATATATATATATATATATATATGAATATATATATGCATATATATATATATATATATATATATATATATATATATATATATATACATATATATATATATACATATATATATATATATATATATATATATATATATATATGAATATACTTATATATATGTATATATATATATATATATATATATATATATATATATATATATATATATATGAATATACTTATATATATGTATATATATATATATATATATATATATATATATATATATATATATATATATATATATATATATACGCGCGCACACACACACACACACACACACACACACACACATATATATACAGATTCACTTTCAAACGAAATGCTGTATTGCCGTTGTTAACAGGCAAGCGCATTTGTACGACTTAAAGGGTTTTTTAGAATGCATAAACTTTGGCAAATATATTCCAGGCTTACTGCACTTCAGCTCTAAATGAATCAAAAAGTAGGCAGTTGGGACAAAGAGTACCAGAACAAAGGCGACGATGAATCACTGGTATGAGATAAGACGCTGGCTATAACAGATCCTTGTTTTATGCTGCGTTCGGGACCCGTCTGCTGGAGAGAGGATAACGGGCCTAAAACCTTATAACGGAAACGGGGGGAGGGGGGTGTGTGGATAGTATGGTTTGTTATTTATTAGTATCATTATTATTTTTCTTATTATTATCATTATTTTTTAAATTTAATTATTATAATTATTGTTATTGTAATAACCATTGTTATTATCATAATCCTCATTATTAGTAATAAGGGCAGTAGTAGTAGTAGTAGTAGTAGTAGCATAAATATTAATATTACTGTCGTTGTTATTGTTGCTATTGCTATTGTTGTTTTGCTATAATCATCATCGCTACTATCATGATCAATAACCTTATTATTATCATTATTATTATTATAAATATTATTACTATCATTATTACCAATACTATTATCATTACTATTGTTACCATTATTGTTATTTTGTTAGTAATAGTAATACCAATAATATTATTGATATTATTATTATTATTACTACTGCTACCATTATTATTATCATTATTGTTATCATCACCACCGTCACCATCATTATCATTATCATCAACATAATCATTATTATTATTATTACTATTATTTTCAAAATCATTATCATTATCATCATATTATCATTAATATTATCATCACTGTTATTATTATTATTATTATTATTATTATTATTATTATTATCATTGTTATTATCATTATCACTATCACTATTACCATTATTATCATTATGGTTATCATCATTATCATTTGTATTATTATTACCATTGTCATTATTATTATTATTATCATTATTATTATTATTGTTATTATTATTATTATTGTCATTATTATAATTATTGCTATTATTATTATAATTATTATTATTACTATTACTACTATTATTATCATTATTATCATTATCATTATTATCATCATGATCATCAGCGTCATCATTATCATCATTATCATTATTATATTTTTTCTTCTCGAGAACCAAATGCCTTTTTTTTTAACATTACATAACGTGCAATAGACCGTGCACATAGTTTTTTTTCCCTTGAATATATTACAAATAACAATGAATAATCCTTCATTAGTGGAAAAATTGCACTGATAAGATTAATTAAAGGAAATCACAGTTGATAAGTCCAACTGTCTTTTGCACCTAATGTTGTTGCTCGTCTCTGAATCGAATCAGAGAAAATCACATTCAAAATATTTAACATGAGGACTTTTCATTCAAAATCAGAAAAAAAGGAAAGGGTTTGACAACAGGCGGGACAAAGGTAAGATTTTGAATAGAGAATAAAATTAGAATTACGTATATATATATATATATATATATATATATATATATATATATATATATATATATATATTTATCTATACATATATATATATATATATATATTTATATATATACATATATACATATATGTATACATATATATATATATTATATATATACATATATACATATATGTATACATATATATATATATATATATATATATATATATATATATATATATATATATATATATATATAATGTAAGGAGATAACGCAGTGTATTGACAAGGGGACGCTAAATGAGGGAATAAAGAGAAAGAGAGAAAAGAAACGGACCAGACGAACTATAACTAGCGAATAATCGAATAAATGTAATAGATGCAAAAATATAATAGCATGAATAAGCAAATGTCTGACTTATCAGCAAAGAAAACACATGCCACTGACTTTGAAATTAAACATTTTTACAACAGAATCTTATCAACAGTCATCGGATCAATACTTGTTTACAGAAATTCTCAAGGATTTTGCACTCGTAGTTGACGGGAAAAAAAAAATGAAAAAATATTTATTTAAAACACTTGAAGTACAAAAGACTTTTTAAAACATGGTTATGAAAACAAGAGCAAAGGTTAATAGAATCGGGGTCATGGAGGAGCATAAAGCAATTAGCGAGATAAAAAAGGTGATTCAGTATGTTTAAAAATAGAATATATATCTAATTCGAGAAGAGTTACTACTATAAGTTCATTATAATTGAAAAAAAGTATATGTGCATTCAATATATGAAAACTGCAAAATGGAAGGAGAAAATATCTAAACTAGCATATTTCCATAAAGGGTACAATTCAAAGGTATATCAGATGATGAACCAAAAACTTTATGCAAAGGTTTCAGTTTATTGATATGTGGCAGTAGGTACCGCAGTGCAGTTTAATCCAAGCTCATAATTTTCAAAATTACGACAAAAGCGACTTCCCCCGTGGCTACCTTTGCCCCAACGGAACCGCTGGTTTAAGGAATGGTTAATTATTCCTAATCAGTTTTATCCTGTTTAATCCGTTGTGATTAATCTTGTGTGGAAATCTCACTAGCATTGCTTATTTAAAAGGGCAAACAATAGATTCTGATAAAATAATGGGAAAAAAAACTTAGTTCGCTTGAGGAAATATATTAATATATTACCCTAGTAATCCTAAATGCTCAGGAAAAGTAACATTTTTAAACGATAAAATGGCGCCGAATTACAAGTATGTCCAAAAGAAAAACAATTTGTAAACAAGAAAAGAAAAAAAGATAAGAAATCGTGAGAAATTCGACTGTTAACAGGAAATAGGCGGGAGCTTTGAAAATGATAAAATGACGTAGATAATGCCATTCTATGTGCGTCTAAAGTCATCTCGAGAATTCCAGAATGTTCACTAATTTATTTTGTTTTTGTTTTTATCATGGTAAGAAGAATAAATAAGGAAGTGACACGCAGTTGATAAATTACTCAAGGGTTTAAACAATTCAGATGCCAGGCACATCAACAGCGAAAAGTTTGGGCTAATGAGATACAGTCTACGTTGCATAATACATGAGAAAAAAGACATATACTACTATAAGGCACTAAAGAGTGGAAAAAAAATAGTAGTTAATGTATGGAGTTCTAGCACGTGAATGGCATTGTGACCAAATTCAAACGTAAAGTAGGTATATGAATACATGAGCACGCACACACACACACACACACACGCACACGCACATACACACACACACACACACACACACACGCTGTTATCAGAAAAGAATCGAGGCTTTGAACACCTTCTCACTTCAAAAAAAGAAAAAGAGATATCACATACACATAACATTCCGGAAGGTTCTTCCAATGTCAAACCTAAAATGGCTTTTGCACCATTGTCATCTTTTCTTCTCCAATTCACCCTCTTTCTCTTCATGCTTGTAAAAAAACAAACAAACAAAAAAAAAAACCCAATCCCTTCCTTAAACCTTCCTAATCTGCAACACTTTAGCTGTCGGTTTAATGTATCAGTTATTCTTATATCCGATTTCCCTGTGTACTTTGGCTC